TATTCAAGTTTTCTTCTAAGTCAACAGATGAATCCATTTTGAAAGAAAAGAATTGTTTTAGTAAAAAACATTTGTTTGGAATAGTTTTTGATTCATATTGTGCTTTCAATTTGTTCCACATTTTAGAAGCAGTTTTAGTTTCTCCTATAGTTCTGATCACATTGTCTGAAAGATATAAGAAAATGCTACTCCAAGCAGTTTCTTCTAACTCAGTTCTTCTACCAGGAGGTAACTCAGCAGGCCAAGAATTATCTAAGGCTCTAGCACACCTTTGTTGCATCAAAATAGCTTTTATTTTCTGACTCCACATACTAAAATCCCCCCTTCCATCAAACATGCTCATTTCAAACTTAGCAGTGGCTGTCATTGCAAGAAACACCAAGTTAATGCATAGCACACAAGTTTGATCTCAAGAACACACAGGGATATACAATGTGGGGACTGCAGACTGATTAAGGGATCAGAGGTAAATTCAACAATGCACTTATGCACTTTTATCCAATCAGTAAACACTTCAACTGATTTACTCAAGCAATGAACACACAACACTCAGTAAAGAAGCAGGAATATCAAATAGAGTTCACAATTCCTATGTATTTCAAAACTGAATTTCTCCAACAGGACCTTCCAATTGCACACCTTACTGCGTTGTTATCTCAGATTTCTATGACTTCAAGAGCCTTAGGACAAAGACCAAGCACAGTAGGTTTTATAATGCAAGGTAAGTCGAGGGAAATATTTAGGAAATTCTACAGTAAATATTACCAGCAGAGTAATATAGGAAAGACCTCATCAAATGAGTTCGAAGAACTCAGATTCCTGCAGTCAGTGCTCACTGCAGTTTGGAGCAGGTTTCTAGAATCTGGTTCCTTCAAGAATCAGGCGTCCTCAATATTCCAAGAAGCTCTGATACCACTGAAATGTCGAGACACTCAAGATTAACCAACATTCATAGAAACCGAACCAAGAAATGCAGAAAATAAAAGTGCAAAAATAATGAACACGATGATTTTTTCGGCCGAAGCCCCAGAGGTTCAGCACAAGTGCCTAATCCCCTGTTGAGCATCCACTATCAATGGATTCAGCTCGATTGCACTATAAGGCCCCCAAAATCAGGCAGTAAGTATACAATGTTTCCAGAATATTACAATATACAAGTCACAAAGACTTATCTCATAAAGATTCACCAAGGCAGACCACGGTTCACGAAGAAACCACGAACAGGTCACTCAGACACTTAAGTCCCAGGTACTGCCATCCAAGAATCACATGGCTTCACAAGTCATTATACAATATGTAAGCTATTCCACATAGGAAACATAAGAAATCACCAAGATTTCATCAAACCCGACTGCACATCACATGAAACCACTTAGGTTTCTATAAACTCAACACGGCAGTTCAGTAGCTTAGAGATCTATAACATATTCTAGATTAACTCAAGAAAGAGTTCTGAAAATCACTCAAGAATAGAGCCAAAATGAGAGATTCATCGAGAGAGAAAGAGAGGCGACTCAAAAAAAACCCTCGAACTCGAGAAGCCGAATGGAGTAAAAATGAAAAACCAACAGCCACCCAAACCATTTAGGGTTAAATACATAGAATGATCTAGAATCAGATCCAACGGCCAAGAGATCAGCACGTGTCACAATCCAGTTGACTCTTTCCATTAGTAAAGTGTCACTTTACAAAACATGCTTTTAGTTAAAATTGTGGAAGCACAATTTAAATCAAAGTGATCAGCAGTTCGACTCCCAACAACATATAACATACCACCATCTACATTGATATTATAGCATCAATGATGCAAGGCACCATTAATTTCCACAACTGATTGAGTTCCTCCAGCTTGATGAGTGATACCCCCAAGAACACCCAACAACATTTGTTACAATTCATTGACGTAATTATGACAACTTTGTGACATCCCTTCTTTGCACCATCTCTCTTCTATAAGAATGTCGGGCAGTCGGGCTCTTGGTGCTATTGCTAGGAGCATAATCTTGCTTTTATACCAACTCTATGTAGCTGGAACGTAAGAATCAAAAGACAAATGCGGATAATTTCCTCCTGAGTTCTTATGTATATGTAAGAACACATTGCTATTTTTAATTTCGTTTTTCTATTGTACTGCTTGAGTGTTTGATCTGTAAGGTGATCTTTTTTGTTCAAGTTCTTACTTCAATTCGTAGCATTCTTTTCACCAACGAATTGCTAGATTTTAAATGTCCCTTCTAATACATAGATGCACAGGCTTTAAACTTCAAATACACTTCGAGCATCAGTATTATCCAGCAAGAAAATAGTTTTTTGGGGAAAAATTTAACTCTATACAGCGACTAAGAAAATTCGAAGCCCTCTGAAACTTTGATGTTTCACTGTTATACAAATAATAATAATAATAATATTTGATTCTTGTAAATAGCTTTAACTACAAACTTCCCCTTTCCAAAGTCTAATTCTGTATTGTGTACTGTAGAGCGTAAGCAATTGCCTTACCTTGGACCAGAGAGCTCTATGGCTTGTACGAGTAATGAAGAGTCGTTTGTGAGGTCTGAATATCGTTCTGATAAGACGAGCTCCTGTGTTTTATCCTTGCTCGTCCGTACTCTCTGAGATGCTTCCCATTTTTCAACAAGTCCATCACCTTCAAGCATTCGAACAACTTCCGACATCCTTGGTCTATAGTTTGGAATATATTGAGTGCACAAGAGAGCCACTTGAACCATTTCCTCTAGCTCGATCATATCGCACTCGTTTTTTAAATCTTTATCCACCAGCAATTCGAGTCTCTTCTCTTGGTGAAATTTCTTCACCTGAGACATATTTTAGCATTGGATAAGTTTATTGGATATAATTAAATATATAATGATAGATTATAAAATTTGGTGTAGTGTTTATAAGATTCAGGTGCAGGTGCGTGTAACTTGGAAAATTGATATTTGAAAATAAGAAAGCAAATAAAGGGGTATGCTCACCCAATCAAGCATTGCTCCTTTCTGATTAGCTGCTTTGCCAAATTCAAGAGCTCTTTGACCCGTGATCAGTTCAAGTAGTAGGACCCCAAATCCAAAAACATCTGTTTTCTCAGAAGACTGGCCAGTTGAGAGATACTCAGGGGCTATATGCCCTACGGTGCCCCGTACAGCAGTCGTAACATGTGAATCCTGGTGATCCAAAAGCTTTGCTAACCCAAAATCTCCCACCACTGCTTCACAATAGTCATCAAGCAGTATATTTGCCGCCTTCACATCCCTATGAATTATCTTTGGATCACATTGCTCATGGAGATATAGCAGTCCCCTTGCAGCTCCTAACGCAATTCGCTTTCTCGTGCCCCAGTCCAAGACTGGTTTTGCTGTTCAACTTAAATGTGTTAGGGACCACAATCTTGAGAGCAATGATGGAGGAAACGGAAAAGAGAAATTCATTCATACAAACACAGATTTATAGTGGTTTATCCTCAATGTGAGAGCTCTGTCAAAAACTTCGCAATAAATAAAGGAGATTAAGATTTTCCTCACATCTTATCTTGCAGAAAAATGGCTCCCTCATATTCCTTTATATAGCTTAAGAAACTAAGGTGATCAAATACAGAGGTATGAATGCCATATATACCCTATATTAAATCAATCCACGGTTAAGAGGATAAGTGTACAAGATAATCAGACACTAAACAGTCCAAGAAAATGACCTGAAACAAAATGATTCTAAAAATTGCAGCAGGATGTCCAAAACTTGTTTGAGAATATTACCTTTGAGTCGAGAAGCAACACTTCCATTAGACATATACGGGTACACCAGAAGCTTTTCTGTGGCTGTCATACAGAATCCATATAGCCTAAGAAGGTTCCGGTGCACAGCTAGGCTTATCATCTCAACTTCTGTCTGAAATTGTCTCTCCCCTCCAGTGGCACTGCCATCTTTCAACCTCTTTACAGCCACAGCAGTCCCATCTAGAAGATACCCCTTGTAGACATTTCCAAACCCACCTTTTCCCAGAAGTTTTTTACTGCTGAAGTTGTTGGTTGCTATCTGAAGTTCCCTAAGTTGAAACCTCCTCAAATTTCCAAGAGAAATTTCTTCATGATGCTTGTCTGAAATTACGAACAAAGATAATAATTGGCAACATGAACAAACTATTTTTATTGCTTATGTTATCAGTCAACTTCCAACATCTTTCTCAAACCTTTAATATCAAAAAACTTCTGCTGTTTATCAAAAAATTTCTGCTGTTTATGCCTTCGTCTCACCCACAGAAACAGCCCAAATCCGAGGAGAAGCAAACCAATGCACCCAATGCTTGAACTAAGGGCAAGTGCAAAATTGTGACTTTTTCGTCTCCCAGAAGGCATAGCAGCTACTAGAAGCATGGTGAACAAAGTCAGGACAGTCAGATCATGTATACAAAAATTTGAACAGAGTGCTTCAGTAAAAATTCTGATATAGTTCAGAATATAATAAAATGTAAGAGCCTGTTTGATGGAATTTATTTGAAAATAATGAATTATTGAACGGTAATTTTTGGAGAATGTGAGGTTAAAAAGTAAGGAAACTTTGTTGGTTTGTGTGTAGAATATTTTATTGTGTGAATGCGTGGTGGAGAATGGTACTATAACAAACAATTTAAATTTTTAAAGGACGAAAAACAGGGCTTAATAGTGTGGAGCAAGTCTTTTTCCATACTTCCTGAATTGTTCAATGTCATGGACATTGGCATCAATGTTATTCCATGGCAAGGCGGCTCTGACCCTGTAGGGCATATTGAAGGGTTCCCAAGAATACTGCAAAATGATAGTAAAAAGAAAAAAACATTGACAGAAATTCATCAATCCCAGTTCCTTCAGAAACACATTGATACGGAGTTACAAAACTGTGAAATAGTAACTTACTTGAAAGTCTTGGAGGGGAATCTGGGTAAAGGGCCCGTCAAGTTATTGAAAGACAAGTCCCTAAAATAAACAAACATAACAAATCTAAGAAATGTTCTTGACATGATCATGTCATCAAAATCTTGAACCAAAATCAGTAGTCCATGCAATAGGCCAAAGAAAAATTACATGAGAGAAAGCTGCGTCATGTTTGCTAATGACATTGGAATCTCTCCAGATAGACTGTTATTGTTGAGCCTCCTAATTCAGAAAAATACACCACTTGAGATCAAGAGAGCAGTGCATTTTGGTACGTAGTACTAGACACAACTAGACAATATAAAGAACAAGATTTTTTTTTTTTCAACTCTCCACTACTATTGAATCCTCCCTAAGAAACATCCTATTAGGGAATGTTTGATAAGTATTTCTTCCTAGCATTGCTCACGATAATGAACAAGATTTTTAACTTTTTTTCATCCTTAATATTGTAAGTCCAGTTGCGTCCAGTCCATCATACCAAACGTGTTAAGTCCTTTTCGTAGTTTCTCAGATTCAATCTTTGATGCTTACATGTACTGAAGGGTTCTCAAGTGCCCCAGAGAAGGTGGAATGCTACCAGTGAAGAAGTTATCTGAAAGATCAAGAGTCTGGAGCTTTGAGAGTCTTCCAAGTTCTGCTGGGATTGGTCCTGTTATGTTGTTGTTCTGTAATAAGCTGCAAACATTTCATTCATTAAAACCAGCAATGTAATATGCAAAATTTATGAACATTATCTTTACTAACATTTTCTACTTACATAATTTGAAGATTTTTTAAATTCCCAACGCTTGGAGAAAGAATACCCGACAAATTCTGACTTGGGGTCCCTCTGCGTAAGGCAATCTATCAACATATACTTAATTTTTCTTAATCCATTTAATCGTTGAAGATATCTCAAAAACGAATATGCAGTAAAAGAATTGATTTCATTTGGCATGACTTACAGGCCAATAACAAGACTCTCAGCAGAACAAGTAACCATAGTCCAGCTACATGGATCAACAGAGACACCATCCCAATTATCAAGAACGCCGTGAGGATCTATCAAACCAGCTTTTATGCCCATTAAAGCTTGGACTAATTACAGAAAAATTTAAAAGATGAGGATACTTGACTTTAGAAGATATAACATTAAACCATCTTAATATTGAGACAAAAAACAATCTTTTTTACCTTCAAAATTTACACCTGTAGACGAAAGCAAGCATATCGCACAGTTCCAGAAGCAGAAAAATGCGAAAATCCAAAATGCATCTTCTCCTTTTATTGTCATATCTATTGATTATATGCAGCAAACGATCAGACTAGAAAACATTGCTTAGTTTTAGCAATGGAGGTGTTCTCTGGACAAGATTTTAGTGGGTTTCTTCTCTGCATAATAATTTCTTGCTTTCTACTGCTAGAAACTGATTTATATATATATATATATATATATGGCTTTTTTGTTTCTTTTTTCTTTTTCTTTTTTTTTAGTTTGCCGGTCTAAAGAGAAGTTAACTCGGTCCTTTCTCGTATAAAGAGTATGAAGAGAACAAGCATGCCTGTCAAGGGTCAGGAGCTTGTCAAGAAAAGAATACTTTACAGACTAAAATATTAGCTGAATATGGATAAATTCTTACAAGAGTTCTAGGAATATTTTGGCGTGTAATTGTGTAAATCATGCAAAGTTACTAACTTTTCCAATCTTGGGCAATCGATCGAGACGAAAAATGAGCACCGATAATAACGCCCAAAGATAATGTTGTTCAGTTCAGCTAAAAAATTGGATTATAAATTAAAGCCAATAGTTAATTTTAAACACAAATTTCAATCTCACTTTTCATCAATTTTACTATCGTGATGCAATAGGTCTTTGAGCAAATGCATAAACCGCTCTCTTTCAAGAGGATTCACGGCAAATCAGTCATTCACAACCACTAATGAAGGATTCCTTAAAAAGTTCTTGATCCTATTCCATTCCAAGAATGGAAAGTTCGATACAACTGGGATTTTTTTTATTTTTTATTTTTGGAAATTGGATGTGGTCGATTGGTATGAATTTTGAAAGATTCTAGAAAAATCAGAAGTATTCCTACGGGTGGAGGTGATGGGTTCAGTCCATTGAAGGACTTAGCACTGTTGTCACAAGTGAACCAATGAATATAACTTTTGATTTGAAAATAGATTCAACATGATTTTGGAAGAAATTATTAGAATAATTGATTTTTAATAATCGAAAGATCCTAAATTCAATAAATTTTAATTTTTTCTTCTAAAAAATCAGGAGTTCTCCATTCAAACTTTTCCTTTCTTAATTTCCAACAATAAAAACCAAATATTTCCCTGGGACATTTAATCACTAGTTGTTGTTTTGCTTGAAATTCGTCGTTTTCTCTTCGAATTTTATATAGTGAGATTTTCTTATGGTTGAAACTAAGATCTTGGCACATATGCATGTACATGTATTTATTATATATATATTGAGACGAGTCAATCTTGAGCTCGTGGGTTGGCTCATTTTATTACTTGGGCTTTGTCATGTCCACACGAGCTAGAGGGCTAAGTTAGCTCTACTTGGCTCATTGTCAGCCCTAATCTATTTTTGTCACTATGAGATAATAAAAAATATCAAATGTATTGATTGACACTACAAAGGCATTGAATTCATACAACCATCACAATTCACACATAGGTTATTACCTCTTGCCTAAACGATACATTCCCTTTCCATACTTCATTATCTATTTATACAAATAACAAGTTTGGTTTAGGGTACAAAGGAATATGAGTTGGATGTGCCGTATTGGTTCTAGAAAAAAGCATGAGCTAAAGATTTCTCACGCTTTACTACAATTAGATGACAACCCTCCAAGCAACTAACCAAAAAGAGGGTCACTTTAATAATTATAAAGGAAAAAGAAAAGGTGCCCCCCACCCATCTCAACCAACTTTATCCTTTTCTTATAATGAAAAATTTAGAGGGAGAATATTACTTTAGTCTAGATTCAGTCCCATTCTAAGGGAGTGATGATTTCTCTTTTATTCTTTAGAGATATGTAAGTGTTCTTATTTTTCTTAAACTGCTTAAAGGTAAATTTATTTGACTTATTATGTAGTAAAAAATGAGTTTAACTTTAAATTGTTTCAGTACTTCTATATAGATCGTCGTTGCATGAATTTTATCAATAGATTTTTAGCTTCCTATTGATCAATATATGTTGCTCGAAGTGAGTGAAGAACGATTGAGCTTTTGTCGTCACTTCAGGAGAGTTGACCTCATCGGATTTCATTGTAACTTAAAATTAGTTGTTAGAACCTCGTTTGAAAGAAACTTCCCATTTTTAGTTTGTGGATATCCATAACTACTCTTTAAGGTAACGTTATTGCCCTATTTCTAGTCAACATTTGGGCCATGTGACGGGATGGACTCAACACAGTGCAACCTAATTGCTTAAATATAATTTAACTGCCGAAAGAAGAAATTGACAACTTACCAAGAAAAAAGAACAACAAAGAAATTGACCAAACACTAGAAAGAATAAGAGTCAACTGCTATGACATTTAAAATGACAAAAATTGTACGGTTTGATCAACTTTTGATTAGATCTATCATGCTTTAACTTAATTGGTTCACTTGTAATACAATCCACTAAAATAAAAGTGAGTCGAGCTCAATGGGAGTTTTAGTTTTTGCAATAGATCAATTAATCTTGTATGATTTTAAAAACATATTCGATGAACATTTCTTAAAATTTTAAGGCAATTTAACAGTATATATCCACGGATGTTGTTAGTTCGAACTTAATAACAATTTATGTACTAGAAGTTTATGATCTCTCTCAAACCTTGACCATTTAGATTTCTTGTGATTAAAGAGTATACTTACCAAAATAAAATATGATCATTCTCTTATATAGAATGACCATTATATCTTCATTATCAAAATGGTATCTTAAAATTTAAATAATATAAGAATAATTTTACAAGAAAAAACACAATTAAGTAGTATAAGGGTACACTTGTTGCCCGTGGTACGAACTATATTTTATTACTTCTATATAATAGAGATTGAGATTGAGACTCATACAAACCTCGTATAATTCATCATATTCCAAAAAAAAAAGCAAAAAAACAAAAAATGTTGAATCACAACTCTTATTATAGAATTATATTTATGTAATACGTAAGGTATAGAATAATTAATATTTTTAGTCAATTAAATTTGAGTAAAATTGGGTATGTTTGAGTCTCATTATTTGGCATTATAATGAGATGAATAATATTTTTTTAAATGAGTGGTTGAAAATTTTTTGATTTACGTTTAATATTATTTTATTAAAGGTTGTGTGGTTAAAAGTAGGAGAGAAAAAAAATTTAATTTAATGTAATGAGAAATAATGGGGCTCAAACGGGGGCTAAAGCTTAGTGAACCGTAAAAGATTAATTTGAGGGAAAATTGCAGCTCTAGTCCCAAACTTTTCATTTTTTGTAGATTTTATCTCAGCCTTTACTTTGTATCATACACGATCTCAATTCTTTCAAATATTATCGTCTAAGGACAAAATGATAGAAACCGTTAATCAATTCGTTAGTTGACCAAAGGTTAACGATCTGACCCAAATTTGACTATTTTTTAAGGGTAACTTTAAATTTTTCATAATAAAGAATTAAAATATATTAAATAGAAAAACCAAAAAGAAAATAATTTGGAAAGTTATTTTTCTTCTTCTTTTTCCCACCCCACTCCCACGCCCACGCCCACGCCCACGCCCCAGTCTACGCTCACAGAAATCAAAACGACCTGTGCAGCCATTATTGTAGATCCAGACCCTCCGACGCCGACGACTACCATCCACTCCCCCACCGCATCGACGATCATATACCCACCACACGCAAATCATCTCACGAATCCACCATTTAATCTTTCCATTTCGGGTCAAACCCGGGTGTAAACCACAATGCCAGTCGGAATTTCCTCCTATGTTTATAAAATCGACAAAATCCTAAGCTCATGGTGGATGATGTTGGAGAATGAGATGTTAAAGAGACAAGTGTTTGATGACATGTCTGTTGCCATTAGAATTCGAGAGTGGACAACGTAAGGATGGAAATGGATATCGACGGCTTTAATGAGAGTGGGGACGGGGAAGGTACAAGAATCATTGGTCCATGAAATTGGGGCTGAAGTCTAGGTCCCAAAAAATGATGGAGCTGTACAGTGGCTGTTGCAGGTGGTTGTGGGTTTTGGTTTGTTGGGTGGGGTACCGATACGGATTGTTCGTAATAGTATTGGTGGTGGTGCGGTGCAATGGTTTGGATGTGGTGTAGAGATGTCAACGAGTCAAGTCGAGCGGACTCGCAAGTCGAAATTTGTGGCTCGAGCTCGACTCGATTAAAATTGTCGAGCTTTTTTTGAGACCTGATTTGGGGCGAGCTTTTTTTAGACTCGACCCAAGCTTTCGGCTCGGGCCTTTCTGAGCGGAGCCAGGACGACTCGTTTTTCTCTCTCTCTCTCCCCTTTTTTTTTAAGGTAGCATTTTATTGTCGTAAGGTTTTTTTTTTTTAATTTAATATAGGCTCACGGGCCGGCTCGAGCAAAACCCGTGTCCTAATAATGGGGCTCGACCCAAGCCTTGGCTCAGGTTTATCGAGCCCCGAGCCGAGGCGGATCGGGCTTTTTACGGGTTGAGCCATCGGCTGCTCGAGCCGACGAGCCCGATTAACATCTCTAGTATGGTGGGTGGAGGTCGTCGGTACGGGTAGCGTGGGTGGACTTTGGTGTGGGGTAGCAAGAAGAAGTTGTCTAATTCTCCAAATTTTTCCTTTTTTTTTATTTAATATATTTTAATTCTTTAAGACGATAAATCGAAAAGTGCCCTTTTACCTAGCTCGCAAGCCAAAAATCAAGGTTTGGGCTCAACTTGAGCTTTTTTTGGCCCGAGCTGAGCCAAGCATAAGCTCGGCTAAAAAGTCGAGGTCCTGCTCGAGCCGAGCCGACTGGATTTTTATTTTTATTTTCCTTTTTCTACTTTTTTTTTAGAAGGCAGCTTGCCCTTTTTTTTAAGATAGCAACCAGTTGCCTTTCACGCTACCTTACTTCTTTTTTTTTTTTTTTTTTTCCTTCGAGCCAGCTCGAGCTCGGCCCGGCACCCCAAGATGGGGTTCGGCCAGAGCCTGGGCTCGGTTGATCGAGCCTCGAGCTTTTTGTGAGCCAAGCCACGAGCGGCTCGAGCCCTTGAGCTTTTTTGCCATCGCTACTTTTACCGTTAAAAAATAATGAAAATAGGGTTAGATTGTTGACCCTTGGTCAACTAACGCATTGACTAATGGTTTCTGACTTTCTGTCACTTTGTCCTTAAGGTGAGAATATTTGAAAGACTTAAAATCATGTATGGTAAAAAATAAAGATTGAGGTAAAATTTGCAAAAGTCGAAAAGATTTGGGATTGCAACTACAATTTTTTCCTTATGTTTATATGCTCTAAGACAAAATATAAGGTCTAATATTTTAAAAAGGACACGAAATATTATTTTACCATAATCGACCAATCTAAGTGGATGTTTGGCTTTACTCGAAATTTTGACAAATAATTGGGCTGGGGCATTCATATTATTTAAAAATAATAAATAAACAAAATTATTATGACTTCGTGTTAACAACAGAATAAATGTCTATCTATTGTGAAACACAATGAGACTTTTCATAAACAAATCTAGACAACGTATCTCATATGCTCTTCCCTTGACGGAGCTAAGTTTTGGGCCATGTCATGCCGGCATCAAGCCAAATAATGGTCCAACGACTTTGATTAGACCAATCTAACAATGTCAAGCTTGCATCAAGTTAATTAACAATCGCCCTACTTTGACTAGACGTTTATACCAATTCACCTTTACAAATTTAAACATGCCCGTACATATCTCTAATCGATTCAAATTTTCAGTGTCATACCAAAAAATATATCCTTTTTGAATCTTGCTAGACTCCAAATTTTGTACTTTGCAGAAGCAATGATTTTCCTCATTAGATAAAGTGAGAATATTTGATTTACATGGTAGTTGACAGAAATAGGAAGCAATTGAAATGTTTAATAGAAGAGGAAGAGAATCATGAAAACAACATAGGAGGCACGAAAGTAGTCTGCCAATATCAAACAGGCCCTAAACTTTTCTTGAATAATTATGTCTAAACATAATTATATTAAACCACTTCTTATCTAGTAATTTATTGGGTTTAGACATAATAAATGGTATTTAACACGCATGAAAAATCCCATTTTGCCTTTTATTGTTGACTTCAAATTTATTAAGAAAAGTGCTTCGCTGTTAGTTATATATATTTAAAAAAAAAAAAAATCAATTTCTGCCACATAGAAATCTATTGGCCTGATTGCCAATTTATCTACGTTACTATTACATTGTCAACAAAGTATATATATCAAGCATTTTGAGGGGGAAAAATGAAAGAAATGTATATCTTTACATGGAGATGAAAAGATATTCAACGCGTGATTTTTTAAAAATATAGGACAATATTTCATCAAGGGTACATCAATTGAAATTCTTTAATATTTTAACTTTATATATCATTATTGATATAATTTTTATAAACGATGCATGCCGTATCAAATACTTGCCCAAAGAAGTTCCTCAGGTATCCTCAAGAGTTAGAAATTTAAAGAATATACATAATATAGAACATAGCACTCGGCTTATCTAAACACTATCATGTACTACTTAGGAGTCAACACGGCACGATAAGTCTCTAACACGGACATGACACCATATTACAAGTGTCCTTGCATGTTGAACAAAGATATCAATAGCAACAATAAATATTTAAAATTAAATTAGTTGTACACCCATTGTGTACAATTAATTTGACATTGTTTGATGCAGCAAAATCATGACTGTTGATTGTGTTAAGTATTGTTGATATTCATGGCAAAACTGTGTACCATAGTATCGAATGTAAACAAAGTTGTTAGCCAAAACACAAAATTGAAAGATTTATTACCATGGCAACAAACTTGGGAAGTAAATCTAACCACTTATTTTCCATATATTTTGTGATAGAAGTAGTTGTACAAATCCTTTAGACAATTGATCATAACGGAGAAAAATATGCAGTAAATGTTGATAAATATTAAATACGAAGTTTCTAACACATAAAAGCATCAAGTTCCTTAAGAACATCCGAGATTAAATGACAACCAATCATAGGAAGATAAAAAGGTTAAAGATGTTCTTCACAGAAGGCACAAGTCTTTCTGCAAAACTGAAACTAATACAAGCTTAGGACATATGCAATTTGAAATTAGGCTTGTTTGAGCCCCATTTTTTGGGGGAAATAGGGTATAGAATAGTGATTTTTTGACTAGAAAAGATAAGTTTTGAGAAGAATGGAGCTTAAACATAGATTAAAGTAAATTTTTGATAAAAAATGATGAAATATGTTGTAGAAAAGTCGTGAGTTCTATAAAACATATGGTTAAAATTAATTATTGACTTTAACTTAAATTTATATCAAAATTTTAGTCGACACTAAACATGGGCTAACACATTTTAATTTGTTAAAAAAGGATCATGTATTGAAGAGATTAAGCCCCCTTTGGTTGCTAATTTGTATTCAAGAGATTAAGCCTCCTTTGGTTAGGGCTAAAAGTTAAAATATTGATAAAATTGATGAAATATATAATTGAAAAATTAAAAATTGAAAGTTATGAATCACATAAAATATGTGAATAAAAATAAATTTGAGAAAAAATAAATTTTTAAAAATTAGGACTACATGGGAACTAAATTGGGGAATACCGGGAGGGGGCATGCCCTCATGGTTTTGAATTTCATTTTTCTTTTTCACTAAATTTTATGTTTTCATATGAAAAAATTATTTAGAGACTCGTTATAACACCTCAAACATCACCATATTTTTTTTTTTTACTTAATTATACAAGAAATATGTGTTAAGTTGATGTCAAATAGAAGTTTAAGTTAAATTAATGTCTAAAAATAGAAATGAAAATCCAATTTTAACATTCTTTTTTAACTAGTAATTTTGAACTCTTACTATGACGGTTTCTCAATTTGAAAGACAGATTTCAAAGTTTGTCATGAATATTTCAAAATGGTTACCAAAACCTATCCCGATGAGTAAAGAACATAACCTGAAAATAAGTTGAAAAAAGCAATGCCAAAAATGAGAATTAAACTAATATAAAATCATGTTACATTTCAAGCATGATCATGCATTATGAATTTAGGGTCAATTCAATATAATCAATTATGTGCGGCATCCTAAACTCATCTTTAATATTACTGGTGTTAAATAATATTATTCGACATTATAATGATACGTACAAGAGTAATAACACCACTGTCATATAGATTAGTAGCTTTATTCAAGTTTAAAAGAGTAATATTATTTAGCAACTGTCTATATGAGAGTAGTGTGGTCTAAAAAAAAAAAAAAAAAGAACTCAAGCTCAAAAAAATTACTCAAATTATATCTAAAATAATTAATTATTTTGTTGATCAAATTTACATTTTCACTAGTAACTCATATTCACTATAAAAATAAATAAGTAATTGTTTTTACATATAAGTATGAAAATACTAACAGTCCAATTTTGTACAGAAATGAAAAATTACTTAAAATTAAGATGTAGTTGGATTTTAATTTAACCAGACATTCTCAAAGACGAAGTTTATCATAGCGTATTCATACCTTAACATTATAGGAATACTACAATACCAATAAGATTTATATTTTGTTAAATATATTTATAAATTAGGAAGAGATTGGTTCAATTCTTAATTTGTTGTTAAAAAAGAAAAAAAAATCCTCGTTGTTTCTTCTTTAAAATTGCAAATATGCCCTTTTCTCAGTTACACGATGAATTAGACACTACGAGGTAGTCTAGAATTCTTTCCCAAAAGGCAATATGCATAAATGCATGGACGCTTGGCTTTATTTTTTTCAAAAATATAATATATTACCATGTGTTAACCCTAATTATTTGTTTATTTTATTAGTTGGATTTATTGCACTAAATAGTATTAAATATAAATATATATAGAAATTTTGCTTATTAAGTTACTCATTGCCAAATTCAATACATTTTCAAATAGTTATTAGTGCCAAGAAAAAGAGCATAAAATTAGCAGAGGAAAAGGAAAAATATTGAACTAAATCTTAAAAATGTGGGTATTTGATCAACCACAGACTTTATGACATAAACTACTGTTACAAGGAATAAAAAATAAATGTTCTCATTGCAAAATCAAAAAATAAAATAAAATAAAATAAAATAAAAACCGACTAAAACTTCAAAGCAGTAGAACTGTAGAAGGATCCATCAATCTTCATTTGTTCATCCCTGTTGCATTTTTAACTGCATCAGCTGCCCCTTGTGCCTTGGCCTTCATTTGCTGTCCAGCCTAAACCAAATATAAAAAATAAAAATAAAAACATCTTAATTAGTTTTTTACATCAATTATTAATTTACCTATGTCCAATCATTGTATCAAACATGAAAAAAACTAAAAACGCGAATCAATATGATAACCTCCTGCATTGTTTCTTTGGTCGATTGAGCAGCATTACCGGCCTTTTCCATCATATGGTTACCCTTTTCCTGAAATGATAACATGAAACACATTCATTACCAATCTTCATATCCTGAATTAAAGCATTAAACAAATTCTTTTCTTTGACCTAATTATTTTTTGAACCATTTAAGTGTCAAAATATTCTTTTCCTCTTCCATTTTTTTTTTTCTTTTTTTTGGGGGAGGTGAAGAAGTTGATAATGAGATCGGAAATCAACTTATGGGTCTTGTAGTATATCTCAGACGGGACTGGATTTAGCTCGAAATATAGTAGGCTCACCTGAGCTTGGCCCTTGGTCTGACCAGCCTGGTAACTGATATTCTGAGAATTATCCATCTTTTGCCTTGTCAAAGAAATGCACACACAAAACAAATATGTTTATATCTTTCCGTTTGATGCTTATGGGATAGTCAGTGGGAATAAGTATTTATAGCAGTAGAAGCCAACCCAAAGGCAGTGACAAATGGCAAAGTAACTCCTCCAATTGAGGGAAGACCGATTCATGGCCATTAGAGTAGGGAGAAGTTGGAGAAATCAATGGTTTACTCTAAGTTGTAACTATCTTGTTATATAGGAACTTCTAGGGTATTTGATGGAATATGATTTTTTATGTATTTCATTCTCTCTTTTTTACTTCTACCTTTCGGTTCGATGGGAGTTATTGACTGGGTTGTCGTTCAATTTCATGAAATGATCACCTCTATTCGAAGCTATATTTCAAGGAAATGAAAATGAGAATTGAAAATGCAACGCGATGTGATATGTGAAAATGTTATTTCTAAAAAATAAAAAATAAAAAAGTTAGGACAAGAAGTATTGTGAAAATGTAATACAAAAAATTATAATGTACTTTTATGAATTTAAAATTTTAATTTTTTAAAATTTAGTATTGATGCAAACTCTAATCACTTGTCAATTTTATTGAAGTCCAAGAATTATCGCATAAGATTATATAAGTTTGTAGTAATTGAAATTAAGTAATACTTTAGTAGCGAAGTCCACAAAAGTCCATAATAATGTGCAAAATTTAAGTTTTCAAATATATTAGATACATATTTTCAAAAGCTTTCATAAAATTTTCTATTGGAAATTTTAAGAGTTTCTGAAATGTTTTACAGAGTTTTCCAAAGAGTTTCAATTTTCCAAAAGTGTCCAAAACGGATGCTAGCATCTTCAAAGTTTAAGTGCCATCTAGCAAATGCTCAAGAGAAGAAAATTATTTTCCTGAATTTGGTAATAAATTTCATTGTCAATTGCTTAGCTTACGTAAGATATCATCCTATTATTGTCATACATATTTTATGTCTACGTCTTATTAACATGTTTGGAAAGTGATTGTAAACAGTTTAAATTTAAAATAGATAGAAATGAGTGGTAAGTAGGTATTAGTTGTGAATTCTTCAAAACATATGAATAAAAAGTAACTTATAAACATGACTAATTGTTGTCATCCCCTATATCTTAGAAAAAAGTATTTCATTATATCATCATTTTTTTTAATAGATCATTACCCTCATCTTGCTTGCCTATTTCTCTCAAATTTAAAAAATAAATAAAAAATTACTCGGATTGGTTCTCACATCCCTCTGTCCCCAAAAGGATGGGTGAGTTCGGTTTTAGTCTTCATCGATCGGGTGGATCTATATGCTCTGGGGTGGGGAGACGAGGTGTAGTGCAGTTTGGTGAGCGCATCTGTTTTGGGTACAGAGGGTCATAGGTTCGAATCCTATCATCTTGATCTAAAGCTAAAGTAAGCAAATACTCTTATATGAACATACATTGACCGTTACCACCTACTCCTGACTCGTATATTGACTTTCTATAGCAAGCACACTCTACGAGACCTATAGCTAAAGATCATATAGCACCACAATCTATATACGAACCTATATGGAACTCTTCTCTCTTTCTCAGTGCTTTCTTTAGGCAAGAAGCCTAACCTCGTTGGTTGAACACAAGCAATATGTATGATATTGAGCTTGAGCATCCCAATAATGGGGCTAGTGGAAAATGGAAAAATCGAAGAAATGCTTATTTATAAGGTGACAAGGCAGCTAGTTTGAGTGGGACCTGACGGTTGCCCGAACATCTTCTTTAAAACCCTTGAACCTAGTCATTTTAGAGGAAATTTCGATGGAGGCTCGGTCTACAAGCCTTACGTCAAAGCCCAGGAACAAATGGGAAGTGCACCAACGCTCGGATATGAATTGAAACCCCCTCCGAAATTCGGTTAAAAAAAATCTTCATAACAACATATAGCAAGTAAAAAGTAAAAGGCATGACCATAAGAATTGGGCGAAATAAGTGAATTTATCTAGTTGAGACATTCTTGATTAAGAAGAAATTATTCCCCCCAGACAGCTTAACTCTGTCAAGCCTGTACGAGTAGTGAAGAAGTATAGAGAACTTTTGTTGGTTCTTTTCCAACAGAAAGCAGTGTAGAAAGCAAAATTCATCAAAATCTATTCCGAAGTAATCACTTGTTTTAACTTATCAAATGAGAGTTCTAGGGGAAGATCACTCCTAAATGCAGCCGTGATCTTATATACGATAGACCAATCAAGGGAATCCCAGATAAGTTTTTTGACTTGTTTTTTTGATTTCTTTTGCCCTCGACCTCTTCTTAGCTTACCCTACCCTAGGAGACTTCCATAGCTGCAGGATACTAAGGAGCTTTTGTTGTTGCACCTGAGTTGATTGAAAGTTTTATAACATACCTTCAAAAAAATTCGAAATAATCAAGAACTGATTATACTAAAAAACATAATGGAGCTATCTAAGTAAACTTCTTATTCATACTTCGACACACCTGACTAAAAGATCAAATTTAAGGCAACTGGAAAATGACAACTAAATAATAACTACTACTTTCCAACTTCCTCATCCTTGTTCTCGTTCCAGCATCAAGGCAAAATTGATTTTGGGAGATCACAACTATCGACAGCGAAGTTACAATACATGATTGATCCACCATTGCCAAGCACTTCGCAGCTCCTTTCTCCACAAATGTATTTCTTCACATCAAAGTGAACTCTGAATCCAGTTCCATCCCACGGACATTAGAGTGTAAAGCTACAGAAAACTTAGCTGGTTGAAAGCAAGATAGTACCCTCTCGAGTAGTTGAGTCAAATGCAACAGTTTGAAATCATATCCGACTGCTTCAAAACTTGCGAGCTGAAGCCATCTTCTGGTGTGACGTGAATGGTAGAGACAGCATCTCCTTCAATGGCATTCATGGAGTAACCACAAGGTTCAGAATTAAAATCACAAATCTCAGAATCCAGGAGAATCTTGCTAATGCCAGAAACTTCAGTCGTGATTGCAGCAGAGCTCAACTCTTTCTTGTAAAATACAGATGCTTTCTTCGGGTCCAGACTAGTCATGCACATCTCTAGAGTGTAGAGCGGACCAAGAATATCTTCGGATTCAGTGGAAGCTGAGTAGATATGCCACTTTTCATGTTCATCAGAATCGCTCATCACATAAGCTTCGCTGCTCATACCAAGGTTATGAAAATGATTGTCGAGAATAGCAACTTCTTTGCAAAAGCTACGATGAGGAAATGGCTGAGCCCCAGGAAATCTGAAACTTCCGCGTGTATATCTCACAGATCTCACGATTAGTTTTTGAGTATCAGTCCGCTTGAGGATGGGTGGGATTGAAAGCAGCAGTTTTGTAATCCCACATGTTTTGAGAATCATCTTGTACGGGTACACAAAGAAGGTAGACTCTGATATGATGTATGAATCAACTTGATCGTTCGATAATGAAGAAACAATGGTGCATTGAGCTGGCATTATAATTTCGTCCAACTGGGTTTTGGACAAAGATCGGAGGCCCCGACCTCCAACGTCCACAAAGATTCCAGGCTCAGAAAATGAAATCTCGAACCTTTTCTCATAACCTTCAAATCCAATTGCCGATGAAAGTAATTCCATTCTGGTTTTGAAGAATCACTGTTTGAAAAACTTTCGGTCTGAACCACCTCTGGTGGTTATTGCACTTCCCGGAAATTAACAAGACCGCTTCCGAGCACATTGCATATGTGAAACATATGGTTAAGAAACAAAACCTCAAAACTTTTCACAAACATCAAAATTTATTTATGATTCTTGATCAATGGAGCAAAAGAAAAAAGCAAGAAAAAGATTAAAACTTACGTTGGAGTAAGCAGCAGACTTGAATTTCTTTATTCCTCCGTTTGGTCGAATGTCCTCTGTTGCGTATTGTTATACTTAGCCAACCTACCTGGGCCAATGGCCCACTCAGGCCGAACCACGTGGCATTCCAGCCAAGGCGGTATATATTGCCGAGGTGGGCTATGGCCGAAGCCTTCCAATTCGAGGCGTGCCCTTTCACCAAGGCCTATAATCATAACCGAGGTCCACATGCTGAGTCCTATGGGCCGATGCCATGATGCGGAAGCTGGTTGAAGTTAGCTGAAGCCCTCAAGTGGGAGTATTGTATGAAATGGCCGAAGCACCGAAACTGATACAGGAGCCTCCGAAGCACATGGGAGCGTCCTCCATGGTCACTTCTCCCAAGAGATCGTCTGCACAAAGATCTTATTCGAATGATTGATGGAACGTTTGTCATAAGCATAAAGGTCAAGTTTTGTCACTAGCATGGAGGCTCTGCACAAGCAATAAATGCGCAGCAAGTTAGCAAGTCAAACCCCCTGCCTAAGATAAGATGTTTGAATCAAAGAGATGAGGCCACGTGCTACCTTATCCAAGGGCTCCCATTTCACATGTATCACTATAAATACTTCCCTTGTGTAACATCAAAGGACTAATGCAAGAATCAATACAAAGAACTACACTTTACTCAACTCTCTCTCTCATTTACTTGCAATACACAAATCGAGTTTAGACACATTTACATATACATTTACGAACACCGATTGGTAATTATTGTACAATCGGATCACGAACAACTCGCCGGATTCCGAACGTCACCGTCCCGCGTCGTTGGGCTACTCCCACGCCCTTTGAACCGCTCTTTGTAGACCGTCCACATGTCATAGCGTATTGGACATTCGCCCACGTGTGTACGGGTGGGACCGGCATCTGTTGGCAACGCTTTTTGGGGTCAATATCCTCAATGCTGTATCCCAGTGGTTTTTCGCAGGATAAGGATTGAGTACTACTAGACTTCTTCTTCCCACTCTTTGATTCCATTATATCATTAGTACTCCCTGTAGAAACAATCAACACAAAAATCAGAACCAGATACATCATCATTCACACTACACCATTCAAGGGCATAAAAAAGGCTGCAAGCAACATTCGAAGAGGGTCTACATAGATAGGATTACTGTATAAAAACCTTCTCAATCAATTAAAACACAAGCAATGCTGAGAAAATCAGTAGAAATAATAACACCCGCTAGTTATCATG